AGAAGAAATAGAGCTTTAATTTGAATCTGATTAATTCGCAAAAAGCTGGATGAAAATTGGAGTTTAAAAGAGACTTAGAAGTTATTTATAGTGAAAAGGGAAGATTCATTTGCTAGGAGTTTATTTTTCTACAAAACTCCATTTGCAGTAGCGAGGTTTGATGTTTCCATGGGAAAGTTTTTTGTTTTGCTGGACTATGCTTGTTAATTGGCTGGGTTTCTAAAACAGAACACTGTGTGAACAGATCCCTGTGTGTTTCCCTTGATACATGGTTGCAATTTCAGCTTGAAAGACACCAGAGGACATGAACTGTCAGTTTACTTTCACTTGTATTTAATATATCCAGCTACCCCCCCTTGTGAAAAAGGGGGGGGGGAATAATATGGCTATGAGGAAAGCAGTGAAATTAGAAAAATGAAAAGAGGCTCTGTGGAGCAACTGTTAAAGAGAAGATGGTTGCTTTAAGTTTACTTAAACCAATGTTTGATGAATTAGGGGCTAAATTTGCAACTTTGGAAAAAGAATGGAAGAAAATAGATAAGATGGACAGTTATGTGAAACAAATAGCTGGAGACATGAAAAATCTTTGGAGATATGAAGCAGGTTACTGAAAGAATGAAACATTGAAGAGTAAAGCAGAAACCAGAGATCTCGAGTTGGAGGAAGGTCTGAATAATGTGGCCTTGCTGGAATTAAAGAAGAAGGAATTTTGCCTGAGATTCAGGCTATTCTGGAAGTTCCAGGGGAAGATATTAGTAGAAGAGTGGTTCAAGCACGCAGAATTTTTAAATTGGGAGGAGGAAAAAGCTGAAGATGAGATTGATAAGGTATATCAGGTAAATTCACACTATGCAGCAATAAGACATCTACCAAGGGATGTATTAGTACATTTTGCAAAGAAAAGGACCAGGGATCAAGTTCTGCAATGGCATTTTAAGACTAGATTGAAGATTGACAATGTGGATATAATTATACTAAAAGAGATTCCCATCAGGATTTTTTTTTTAAACAGAGGTATTCAAACAGAAGATTTTATTTCATTGGGATAAACTGGAGGGAGTGGTTTTTACTTTCCAACAGAAAAGATTTCAACTGAATTCAGTTCATAAAGTCAAGGAATTTCTGGAAAAATTTAAAGAAGGCTTGGAGGAGATGCAAATAGAAGAGAATGAGCAGACAATCTCAAAAGCCAAACAGGTCCAGGAGGAAGATGAAAAAGAGGACTCTGAGTTGGTATAGACTTTTCTAAATTACTGGATTAATAATGGATTACAAATGGCTAATGTAGAATAT